AAACGTTTTCATTATTGTACATAATTATGTCTCTGTCTATATTATTATCAGTGATTTTTACATAAATAAGTATTAATGCAATCGTATGCAAACTTTACAGATTTTTTTATCAAAAGCTATGAAGTAACTGCATCTTGAAAATAGTGTTTAAAACTGATAAAGCCCCTTCAACCTCTTCTAATACAACGCCATCAAGGCAATTTTCTTTGAACTTCTTTATACTTCCAGAATCGTGCCACTTTCTAAATGCAACACGAATGTTGTAAAATTCATTTAACCAACAACAAACGCAACTGCAACGCCATCTTTTAATCATTAGCTACATTATTTTGTTCAATTGAAAGTCATCAGATCTATCGCTTATCTAGGAAAAAGTTACTTTCTAAATTTACTAAGCACATACATACAAGTTCTTTACAAGACTTAAGTCGATCTAAACGCCATCTGTTGAAAACTGGATACAACGTTTATTCCATTGAAATCTACTATCTTTGAGTCTCCGACTACTGATGCGGAATCATTTCCAATCGTTCTTTCTAAATCCACCAGGAAAGTAAAGCCAGAGACATGACTCGACGACAATGCCATCTCTGGAACAACAGTTGTAACAGTTGTCTAAGAGAAAGCTGACGCTTGCGCGAGCACGTTGCATATCGCAAAAGCAGTTTGTACCCGTTTTCGTATTCAAACTTCATTGATGTTATATGGTACACTTGGAGTTTCTACTAACCAACGAAAGATGGCGTTTTTATAAGCATGCGTGCATGCGTCATACACTTCATATACGTACGATCGTGTATGCGTAGGTATGCAATAGAACAATAGAACTAAAGAGAATAGAGAAGTATCAAGCTCATTGAAGTTAACATTAATATTTTTAAACATAGCGGTTGATCAACTACACAGAGGATGCTGACACACCATCTCCCTTACCCAGGGCGGAAAGGAAGAGCACGATATTCCTCACCAAAAAAAAAGTAAAAAGTATATTTATTTACCTACTATAAACCTACTAGGAATTCTTACGTAATATTTCGCAACATTTGTTATGAAACACAATACACCGAAAAGCTGTGATTTACAAATGAAGGAGATTAAAGAAGCCATAACATAATTACAATCTAATAATTACAGTCCAATTAAATTGAACATCATTCGACAGCAACAGCTAACATCCAATGCAAATCCACATTCGCACGTACCACCGTAATAATGTAGAACTAGATATTGCAATAAAAATATAAGAACTACCTATAATTATACCCAAACTTAATGTTCTATTACAGGCAACAGTAACAAAAGGTTTTGGGCTATTATGGCACTAGTCAAAATTAGAAACCGGTGCCGTGAAATTATCTGCCCATTGACGAAAGACTAAATGTAGATTATGCTGTAGTTATATTTAATTTTTTTTGTTGTAAGCCGTCGTCCCAAAATAGGATTTTCTCCTGTGCCGTGGGTGCGTTTACTAACTTACAAATTCACATACACAAACCACCCAGACCTGGAACAACAATTTGCGGACCACACAAAGTGTTGTTCCGTGCAAGAGGATCGAACCCGCGACACGTTGCGCAACAGCAAGTTGCCCAGCTACTACTACATCAACCAAAAATTCTTATTATAATGCCTGCAAAATAAATTGGTACGTCAATAATTTGGTTAAGAGTCAGAGGTCACCAATCACTCTCCATCACTCCAGTACAGTGAGGGCTTCCATCAAATTGTTGATTGATATAGAGGTTTAAAAATCCATACGTAAAAAATATATTTTTGTATAATACCTCTATTATAATCATGATCGCAATGATCTTTATTTTTTCTTATGGAATAGGAGGCAAACGAACAGACTGATCACCGTTTGGTAAGTGATCGGAGGCGCCGTAGACAACTGCAACACCAGAGGAGTCACAGGCGCGTTGTCGGCCTTTAAAGAAGGAATACGCACATTTCTTATAGGTCTGAAGGTCGTATCGGTTCGGAAATACGATCGCCGAGATATTCCCAAGTTTTGCTTCTTATTACATGTATCTTGTTGCGTCATCGCTATATTTTACTACAAACAAGCATCGCCATCTTTTTATGTTCCTTTGATGCAGGACAAGTTTTTTTTATGTTATAGATCGGCAAGCAGACTAATTACCCGATAGTACTTACCGTGAGCAACAACAACAGTGGAGTTACAAGTGCTTTGCCGACGTTTTGGGGATTAGGGATTTGGAGATTTAGGAAAGATTGGGCCTACCGTAATCTCGCGGTAGCCTCAATTGGCGAAACACAATGCTGTGGTTGTTACACGCCGGTTTTCTATGAAGCCGTGGTATCACTCCGGTCGAGCATGGTCCTCCCACACTATTGTCTGTACTGACAGTACAGTTGTCACAGATACGACAGTGGAATAGGAAAGAATCGATCTCTATCATTTAAGAAGGCTATTATACCTAGACCATTGTCAATAAGCTTTGAAATAGGAAAAATCCACATCTTTTGACAATCATGATTAGAACCGATGTTGACCACAGCGGCCTATATTCTCATAATTATTAAAAATTAAAAACCCAGTGTTGTCTACAGATAAAATCAATGTTAATAGGTAGGTAAAAATGTTCTTTGCAACATTATCATAATTTTCAGTAATAATTTAGGTAAGTACAACTTGTAATTTATTGTAACCGAAACCTAAACACGTGGCCAACAATAGACTACCCACCTTTTTATAAAAGGTGAGAAATTATACCTACTCAACTTTCACGAATCTTCTAATAAACAATAATCGACCCAATACCTACCTATTGTTTTAAATTATATATTTTCAATACATTTATATAACCTGTTGAACTTCATTCTTTCGTCGTAACATCTAGCGTGGGTGTAATTCGAAGCTATTGCACTTTCGTCTAGACATTATTAGTCATAATACCTGAACAAGTGGACCAAAAGATATAAATTGGTATATTAACATATATTATCTTAAAATGTAGAACTCATCTTAGTAACAAATTCATTTTCTGTATCATTTATATTGCAAACAGTATATAAATGCTACCTGGTTTAACTGATGTTTTAAAAACAGATTTTTCTTTTTTTGATTTTATTTTTCTTTTTTTTATCTTTGATGGAAATATTACTGGCACTTTAAAAAGAATAAGAAATATTTAAGATAAAGATACTAAATTCAAATATTGTTGGTAGCACTGAGAAAATAAGCTACATACGCCTGAAAGCGAAGGCTATATCTTAAGAAATAATGTCCAGTATTTTGTATACGTAGGTAGTAGGTACATTAAACAACAGACAAGCATTGCGAAAAAACAGTTACTAAAACCGCATTGTGTTACAAACTAGAAAAATTAATCAAAATCAAAATAACGGTTTTACAAACTCCCATAAAATTGGATGCATGCATAATGATTGACTGTCATGAATCATTCCTATTCGCTCGTCCAATAACATTACTCATCCGAAACGATTTGCCTAGCGATGTTACAACAATAGTGTTAGATTAATGTGTGTCTAAAAAATCTAGTTAACCTGCCAACCTGCAGTCAGGTCCACTATTCATCACAATCTAAAACTGCATAAGTAATGAAGTACTTAGCATGCATCGAACAGCCATGTAAAATCTTAAATCTTAGATGGAAATTAAGTTTGAAATATACCATCTCAAGATAATTTCTAGAATCAGGCTTACTTTGCGGAAATAGTTGTAGAGATGGTATATTAAATGTTAGGAAAAATATTTAGTTTTTCGCGGAATAAAAACTTCAAGATTTAATATACCATCACCATGAAAAACTAAATATTTTTCCTAACATTTAATATACCATCTCTACAACTAGGTATCTAATTTAAGCAAAAGTGCGTAATCGTGATAGAGGAATTATACCAGCATAATTTTAATTTGATTTACTTGGATTTTCTAATAACATTCTTTAAATAAATTAAATCTGGTGGACATTACTTGTAAACTAGACTTTATTTGGTGTCCAAGACCATGAACACCTATATTCTTATTTCTTGCTTCTGAAAAGTATTTCTTAGTTAACAGATCAGTAAAAGGCCCTTCGTCTGTCCTTCATCACGAACGTGCTTTAAAACTTTATTATTTTTATTCAAAAATCCCAGATCGGAATCTAAAGTACTTCTTGTAAGCGTCTTATTTATGACGCAATACTAAAATCACTTACTATTAAACAAATGTAGGTCAGAACAGCTTATACAGCAATCAAAGGTAAGCTCTGTTAACTTTCTATAGAACATTTAATAATTAATTAGGTTCATTACATACGCTCTTTAACCGCTATTGTGCTATCCAATTGTCGGTAAACTTTGAAGTAGGAACGAGCACATCTTTTGACAACCGTGACTTGAATGTTGACACCAGAGAAGCCTTACCTTCATTATTAAAGATAGTAATTAGCCAATGTATGTTATTCAAATTATTGTAGTATACTGTGTAATTATAATGACAACACATATAATTAAATCTCCATTGATTTCACTTACTATCCTTTGTTTTATTCTGTTTTGTTTTCTATCCTTTTTAACCTATCCTGGACTTCCACGAATATTTTCAATTTTCAGTCTTCTCGAGATTTATTGAGACTAACGAACAGCATTTCTTTTTTATATTTACAAAGATGATATGACCTAAAGCTTGAATTTTAATTCTTATACTAACTTAAAAACAAATGGTGAATAATAATCCATTTGTTACTACAGGACAATAAAACCAAATCAATATTTAACAACAATTTTATTATAAATAACAATTTATTTCAATTGATAAAATACTGACCATTCTAATTAGTACTTTATGAACAAAATACTACAAACCACTTGGGCATTTTCACATTAACTTAATACACAGTATTTATTAAAGACACGTTCGTTGTACAAGTAACATTTATGCTAACCTTATATATATTTCTCTTCAATCTATATAAAGCCAACAAAGTGTACCTTTATGTATTTAACTAACTCTAATATCTTATTAACTAGTGGATTTTAAGTATCTTTGATTATTATGTATAAGTATTCAGTCGAGGGGTCATTTGTGAGGATTTTTTTCTACTTTCGGATTCCTTTTATAATGTCCATATGCAACACCACCATTGCCGGTGGGGTACATCTGGTTCGGCAGAAAACCTCGTTCGTAATGTCTTGGAAGTGGATTGGGAAACCTCCCACTTGACAACGCATCGTATAACGATGAAGGATCCTTCGCAAGACCTCGTTTCAGATACTCAACCTGAAGACTAGAAGGTATGTAAGAGTCGAGAAGGGATACAGGACGTTTCTTGAAGTGTGAGTGCGGAGGAAGACCCTGGCCGTGTGGACGTGCAAGGTATGGATTAGTAACCGGTTCTTCCTCTCGGTATACTGATTTTGTCAGAGGGCGAAACATTGGCAGGGTCCTTGGAATGTGCGATAAATGCGGAGGTGGAGCTCTCAGTAATAAAGGATTTGGGTGAGGCAGGTCAGTTATTGCATTTTGATTGTGCCTGAATGGCTCCCTTATCGGCGCACGAGAATTATAGTGACGCGGTAATTCCGCTACAGTAGGCAAGTACGGTACCTCAGTCTGAGTACTATATTGTTTCGGCTCCTGTTCTCCAATTTCATCTAATGAATTAGAATCAGTGTATTCAGGATTAGCATAAAACGCTTTGGGTGCAGTTGAAGGTGTCACTACTCTTGAACCAATCTGAAACATAGGGACTTGGTAGGCTAACACTGGTGCTACAGTCGCTATAGCCGGAGGGGCGGTAGGTTGTGTTTGATAAATGTACGTTACTGCTGGAGGTGTAGCATAATGCTCGAATGGTTTTCCTGTTGTTTCGGTATATGAAGGGTCAGTGCTGTAGGTATGATAATTGTTAGCCGTAGTAGAGACGGAATTTGACAGGTAATCTACCTGTGGTTGCTCTGACTGTGGCACTTGATGATCAGTGTAGTATTGTGGGACTATGTATATTTGCATTGGCATGTTCGACAAATATCCAACCATAGCATGCTGAGGCCCCGGGCCAAATTTACTTGGAACAGGTGCATGTTTTTCTGGCTGTTCGGTAACTGCATACTGATGAATATAACGCTGTTGCTGAGGAACTGGGTGGCTCTGGGGATTCTCGAATAACCGTAAAAATCCAGATTTCATCATTTCTAAAGAGTTTAAGCTTGTGCCCGAATTGGAACTTTTGCTTTGTGGAGAATCAGATTTATCATGATCTTTTTTTCCTTCGCTCCTCAAATTGTCTTCTTCTATGTCTTGCAACTCGATTTTCTTTTCGGCTCCCACGACGAGGACCAAGAGAAAAAAAGCAGTGACCTGAAAGTAAAAGTGGAAACGTTAGTGAAGACCAAGGTGGATGTCCGAGGCGGTAAACAGGCATGGCCTCCGCATCAGACTGCTAGAGATGGCGCGAAGAGGCGTGCCGACTGCCCGCACCCAACATTACGCCAAACAGGTGAATGGCAAAAAATAGACTAGAACCTATTATGAAACCGGTTAACATTGCCGACGCACTGTGATACGGCAATGCAAACTTTTACTCGTAATTTATGTGGTTAAAGATATCTCGTACCTACCATGTTACGTGTAACTACATTAACTGTGATTACAACTACATGTTATCTCGTAGGTACATGTTACAATCATTAGAAAAATTACACATCAATGTGTTCAAATTTGAAACGAGTAGAGCCATTTGTTCTACGTCATGTATAGGAATGAGTATATGTAAATATAGTTTTAATAAATTGTAACAGTGCTAGTACATGTGATAAATGCTTAAGCATTCAATGAAAGAAAAAAAATTGCAAAATTATTTTTCACATTCACATTCAATTAAATCACACGCAAACGGTATCTATAAAAAACTGAATACCTTTTATGCGCCAGGTAAATGATTTGCGCCGGTAATCCGGACATGAATAGAGATTCTTTCTGCTTAGGCCTCTTAGTAATTTATGTTAATTTATCCGTCGGATTACGAACAAGAATGTGTTGATGAGCTGCCTAATAAATCACCAATTTACACGCTCCGTAAACGAATGTTTGTAAACATAGATAAGTGGTTTTAAGCGCGTGAATGTATGGTTAAATTTAGATTGGCAATTAGTTGTATCATCATTAATGACCTTTATATGTATAAGCTTGATCGGTATTGATTTGTAACCTTACAGCATACAGATTTAATTTAAGAAAATTGTTTTATTTTGTGGCTGAAACTACGAGGATACTCAAAAATAAATTTGCTAAATGTGTTTCATTTGGAATGTTCTTTGCCCACATTCCATTAGATATTGCTCCATGATAGAAAAGGCTTGTAATGATGATTTGATTATTTTTTCTTAGAAATTCTTTCAAAAGATAAGATATTATTTTCTAAAATTAGACCTTGACTTTTCTGCCAAACTAAAGCATAACCTTTAATCAAATATTTAGAATGTACAGAACTACAAGTATATAGAAACTCAATGGTGAAGTGTTTTAAAGAGCTCACCACAAACTCGTCTAATTAAAATTTCTATAAGTTTTAAATTATGTAATTTTAAGTGTAGGTACCACGTATAATACGTAAGTATATGTATGAGTATTGATAAAATATTTGAACAGGAAAACTTGACTTATTAAATACCAAACCGTTACTTGAAGATCGATTTTGAAACATCGTAGGACCTAGATAGAACCGAAGCATAACTTATAAGATATAATAGTGTGTGATAATAGTGGGTGATAAAAAATTTATTACATAATTATGTTGTGTCAAGTTTTTGAATGCATATTTCTTATGCAAAATGAAAGTTCCATGAGAATTTTGTTAGTGAATGTTAGCTTAAGCTTTAAGTGTTATTGTTAAGTTTGTGTTTTTGACACAGATCTCTTTAATTTCTAAGTGTGGGTTATAATTTGTACTCTGCGAATCTATCTAGATGATATTTTATTATGACTAGGTTATGAGTTTAGACGAGATTGTAAGAGATGTTATGATTGAAACTCGAGTATGACCATAGAACAATTTGGGAAAATTTACATCAATGACATAATAAAATCTAGTTAAACGTTCTTCAGTACCTACCCGAAGCAGTTTTAAAAATAATCAGATTTCCAGGTTGTAATTTGAGGTATAACAATCACATTGACGAATCCGTTTTAAAACATACAACTTGGTTGTAAGTCAAATTAAAATAATAAAAGGTTGCAGGACTTTGATCTAGAAATGAATCTTTAAATAAATATAGCAATATATTCGCAATACCCAATATAAACCTAGTGCTTTGTAACTGCATTATTACTAAAGTTATATCTGAATGTAACGGCACTTCATATAATTCCGCTTTTTAATATTCTACAACTGTTGGTATTTGTCGCCAGGTAAATAATACTAAAATATACAGTACCCATTTTAATTCACCAAACCCCAAGCGAGCGCCGGCGTTCGCGTACCTACCTATAGTACTTCTATTGTGTCTCGAATTACAACGATTGAAAGGTTAAATTTATAATCATTTTTTGTTATCTGAGTTACTTACGTAATACTTAAATATTCTTTACAACACAGTTATAATAGACTAGCTACACGCGGCGTTTGGTTCCTACAGATCGTAATGTTTCATAGCCTTCCTCGATAAATTGAATAACAAGCACAACAATAATTGTTAAATTAGAACCAGTAGTTCCGGAGATTAGCCCATTCATACAAACAAACAAACTTTACAACTTTATAGGATAAGTATAGATAATAAGTACTGTAAGAAACATCTAAAACCAATCAGAGTTCAGAATGCTTTTATAACTCTGGAACTTTGAGTCTATGAAAAACCAACAGGTTTATAATTAACAATTAAATGATAAAAGTATAATTTAGGTAATGTCATCCGATTCTGTGACAATAATAAAAATGGCTGACTCGCCTAAAACCTAAACACTGGTCATAAGATTTCGAATTTCGAGTTTTCTATTGTACCTTTGTACTCATTGAATAGTAATTGTCTATTTAAATTCGAAATTGGAGTTCTTTGCGCATTCAAATCTGCGTTTATTTTTTTTCTAATGTGAAAATATAGGTACCTCAATTGTGTTCCTGTGATAAATATTTATATTTACAATAGCACCTTGAGCATGTTTAGCGTCTACCTTGTTGCTTATACTGATAGGTAGATGGAACTATTTTAGGGCTGATTTTTCAATAGTCAGATAAATGTTATCTGAGGAATAAAATTGTCGCTGTCACTGTCTTATACAAACATTCTGGCGCGATATTTATATAAATATTCTCCGGGTGACTTTTGTCAAACCATTAAAAAGCCTTTAATAAAATATATTTTGCCAATTTTGTAAAGAACCCAATGTATGATATAAGCCGCGGTTATTTTACTAGTTTCAAATAGTAAAAATCTAGGCGATATATCAGGCACCATTCTAGACTTTGATGTCAATTTAAAATAAAACCGTATAATGTTTAGTAGCGCTTCTGCCTACTTAACGCACCAGGTTATTACCTAAACAAATTTATTCTTATATGTTATACTTTTAGTATTTAATCCTTTTAATTGTAGTTTCACTATACTAAGTCCTCAAATCCATTATCACTCTCAAAATTCTTATACCTCTGGTGTTAAAAGTGGACGGACGGTGCCATTTGCTCATCAGATAATCCATATGCTCACTTGCCGACATATCCCATAAAAAGTATCAAGGTAAGCTTAATATTTCAATCTTACTATAAAAGGGAATTCAAGTGATATTTAAAGGAACTTGCACATCATCATGATTCTTTCACTTTTCTTCGTGAAATTACGTAAACTCTCATTAAGATAAACGTAGCTAAAAGTCAAGTAATAAAACAAGATCATTTTTTCGTCAGAATTATTCCTAATTTGGTCTCTGTTACATATTACCTACAAGCATTTTTGTTGCATATTACATAAAGGACTGGTTTGATAAATATACCCTATGAAAAACCGACGTCATACGCAGTGATAGTTGTAATAATTTTTGCACACATTTAATGCTTATTATAATCGGCAAAATTTTTAATTTTAATTGATAAATTAAATTACATACTGGTTCTAATTTTTACTGCACGGTTGGCGCGGTGGCTGGGCAACAGAACTGACTGCCGTGCAACGTGTGGCGGGTTCGATTCCCGCACAGAACAACTCTTTGTGTGCCACATATTGTTCTGGGTGTGATGTGTATGTGAAATTGTATGTTTTTAAACGCACTCAGAACACAGGAGAAAATCCTAATGTAGGGCAAAATATAAAAAAAATTTGATCGTAACTTTGAACGCATGTACCAAACCGAAAGAAAAGAATGCTTTTTTTTTACTTGATATAAACTAGTGTTTGATCCCACCTGATGGTAAGCAGTGATACAATCATTGATGGTAAGGCGCACTAGTTTATAAAGAGTCTATTCACTCTAGCCTTGAAGACATCTAAATTATATTTGGACGGAAAGACTGCAGCCGGCAAACTGTTCCAATCCCTTGACCCAATTCGAATGACTAATTAAAACTATCAAATAGGAAAGTCTTCACCTTTGCATTGTCCAATTAGCAGCTATTTACGCGAAGTTATATATTACCACAGATGGTAAAAGTGTAGGTTTCAATCTACGAGATATTTTACAAATTCAAGCAATGTTCGACCCACATTTTTCTTGCACTTCTTATTTCATTTATGGTCAAAACTACATTCGTCATGTGTGGGTGACTCCGAAAATCTTGAATGGGCTTTCAAGTCCGTTCTTACTAAAGTTAATTGGTTTGTATGTAATTACTGACACCTTCGCTAATTGGCCATACAATTTAATGACTCCGATTGTGCAGCTGTCTCTGAAGTGAATGGATCAAATTCTATAATGAGTTGGCTGTTTTATTGATTAGCTTGCCATATAACTGACTGCGGTACCCTGGTATCAATTATGGTGGATTGATAAAATCTGTGTAAATATAGATACAATGTGTATTTATAATGGTTTTATAAAACTGAAACAACTTAGGAACAATTACATAGATTGAAAAAATCTTACTTAACAATATAATCTGAAGGTATTTTAGGATAATGATACTTTAGTATAAAGATGACGCGTTTCCTCCCTTGACTATTCACAATTACTCCTAAATACTTTCCCCTAAAATACCGTTTTTCATAATTTACTTTAAAAACCGTTATAATAATTCATTACAAGCTTTTATTTTTATCGCACTTACTGTGTCTGATAGTTCCCGGCGTAGAATGGTACGAGTAGAGAAAATAGAAAATATTATTACGCAATGACGCATGAAATATGTATATTGATGAAAAAAACCTTTGCAGGAATTATAGGACCCAAAGGAGTGAATTTATTTTTATGTTCTATATTCTTTTTGTGATACGTCGGCAAACAAGCTGACGGATTACCTGATGGTAAGCAATTGGCGCCGCCCATGGACATCTGCAACACCGAAACAGGTTACGAGTCCGTTGCCGGCCTTTTGGGGTAAAGGTTTCGGATATTTAAGGATTGGGAAGGGATGGGGAAAGGGGGAGTGATTCGTGCCAAAGCATGGCTATCCCACAGCTTTGGGATATTATATTATACACATATATAATCTTTATCTCATATCATTAGAGGATAATAGGCAAACAAGCAACCGGAATACCTGATATGTATATAGCTCCACCAATTTGGTTGTTTCCTAGGTTTACCTAAATTAAATTAATTAGACGTGTCAATACAATGAAATATAAAATAGTTACTATACTTTTATTTATCGATCTGCCGATACACTAAATTTTCAGTATTTTTTAACTAATTGATAAGAAAACTAGCTACTCTCGCGCGGTTTCACCCACTGCTCGCCTCCATTTAATCGTAGCGTGAAGTCTTAAAGCCTATAGCACTCAAGAATATTGTAGCTATCTATCAGTGAAAGAATTTTGGAAATCTGACCAGCGGTTCCAAAGATTACCCCTACATACAAACTTACAAATTTTACCTCTTTATAATATTAGTATAGATAAGTAAGCTATTTGACGCGAAAATACTATGACGCCATAATTTAGAATACCAGACAAATTCTATAGAAATGTGTCGTTTTTTATATTTGGATAAAAATATTGAATTTGGCTAGTTGGAAACTACCTTGTTCTGTACTCTGTGACTACCGGATTGTAATTGGACTAGCCAGAGCATATTAAATTTCAATGAAACATTATTTTAGTAACAATTACATATAAAACTAAGTCTTGTTAGTTTTTCTACATAGACTTTTGTAACAATGTTACCAAATTATACAATCTCTATGCTTTCTATTGTGACAGCTGGCAAAACAATTACATCATGTTAGTGTTTATTGTTTTTTTGTATATGTCGGAGCGTCGATTATTTAAATTGAATTTTGAAGGAGGTTTTATTACAATTCATCGGACGAGGGTACCATAAATCGTACTCTGGCGGAACGTCAAACTGGCAGTTCTGCGTGCGCATTATGGTGGAGAGCAAGCGCTGTGACTGTCATCTGAGACGGATCGCCGACGTCCGTTATTTTTGTAATTTATTCAGTCTGATTATAAAATCCTACGCCCTGCGATGGACTGTGAAGACGATGATCGGGATGTTGATGTTTGTACCAACCCCCCGGTGCCTTCATCAGAAGTGGGATTTGATGGGAAACCATCTAATAATCCGAAAGAACGACCTGTAACTGACGCGGATGAAAAAGGGGCACGCAGTCATCTGTTTTTCATGTCACGTTTCGAGAAGAAGACCAGCGGTGCAACATTTGAAGAAGTCATCATTTGCCATAGAGCTTCTAAAGTCGTAATGGAGATATCTACGGGTGAGAAAGTTCCATTTCTTTGTGATAATGGGTAATCTTCCTCATTATTTGCGTGTTCATATGATTGAACCAACGATTGTCGTTATAACGAGCGAAATAGTTCACAAATTAGAGATTAGTGAATTGATGGTTGTACCTAGTTTCATCTGGGTAACGTGAGTGTCTGTGAATATAATTGAGTTGGCGTAACTGATCTGGGAAGGATAGTGACGTCCGGTCTATGTCACGTGGTGTCTAGTCGAAGGGACGCACTAGTCTGACCTAGGCAGGTGATGTGGTGAGCTGGTCGGAGGGATGATGTGGTCTTGCCGGAGCATGTTGGCTGGTGGTAGAGGCGCATACATCCGGTCCAGGCACACCAATCGCTGAGGCCGTATCAATGTGGTTTGGGAAAAGTTGTTTTGGAAGTAGGTACAACTGATAACGATGATAATGTTACATCGATGATGAGTGCAGTAACCAGACGATGTTGAGAAAGCGCATTTTAGTCAGGATGAACGAGCAGCGTGCTATACACGTGGAATCTTTCTTCTGTTCCAGAACTACCACATAACTAAGATCGCTCGAGGACGAGCGAATGTCAGTCTGGCCGTGTCGGAGCGTCGATTATTTAAATTGAATTTTGAAGGAGGTTTTATTACAATTCATCGGACGAGGGTACCATAAATCGTACTCTGGCGGAACGTCAAACTGGCAGTTCTGCGTGCGCATTATGGTGGAGAGCAAGCGCTGTGACTGTCATCTGAGACGGATCGCCGACGTCCGTTATTTTTGTAATTTATTCAGTCTGATTATAAAATCCTACGCCCTGCGATGGACTGTGAAGACGATGATCGGGATGTTGATGTTTGTACCAACCCCCCGGTGCCTTCATATAGAAATTGACGTGTTTAGAAAATATTATTATTTTATTGAATTGTCTCATGGAGCATTACTCATTATTGTAGGTATAAGTAAGAAGATTTGGATATTTCGCTACACTTATGATATTGATTATATTGTTTTTTATTTTCTATCAAATTAATTTAATTTCAGATTCGTATACGTACGTAGTATATTGTGTTTAAAATGGAAATTGGGTAGTTTCCTAGGTCAAAAATAAATTAATTCGACGTTTCAGTACAATAAAATATTAAAAACTAACTATACTTTTATTCATCGATCGATCGATACACTAAGTTTTAGATATTTTGTAGCTAATTATTAAGAAATAAGTAAGCTATTTGACGCAAGAATACTATGACGTCATACCTCAGTTTTTCATACAAATTTTATAGAAAAGTATCGTTTTTGACATTTCGATAAAAGTATTGAAATTGACTAGTTGGAAACTACCGCATTTCAAAAGCATTGTACTAATTATAAAAACGTACTTGTAAAGCTCAGATATTGGTGAATTTTAAAAAACACGTATATCACATGTCTTATAAATAAGGAGCGATCAAACCCGGCTTTTTACGTATGCAATGCTGATACAAAATTTCTCAACTATTCAATGGACGTTACTATGCATAGTATAAATCAACTTCTTCTATCATTCTATCTAAAAATACCGCATCAAAACCCGTTGCGTAGTTTTAGAGATTTGCGTATGCATAGGGATATAGGGACAGCGAAAGCGACTTTGTTTTTTACTATGTAGGTAGCGATTATTAAAGATCAACGTCCAAAGGGTAACTGACTAAATTTTACCACCGCCCTGGTCTTTTTATTCATAAACAGCTTTGATTTTAGGAGCCTTTAAAAATATTTAAGTTTATAAATATATATACTTAAAAAAAACCATTGCCTCACGTTAGGATTTTCTCCTGTGTATGGGTGCGTTAACAGGAAAATAGACAAAATATTTAATTCGCTTCGATTTTTATCGAGTCAGTCTTAGAACTTTGCTTTAGTATTTAGCTTAAAATTTGGCTCAGCAATTTGGTGCTTGTTAATAATGTATTTGTGTAAACTAATTTGAATTTATTATCCCCGTTTTTATTATCTATTGTTGCCTATTAACCTCTTCTACATTTGAATTCCGTATTACCTATATGTTATTTAACATTAGTTATTCGTTTTTATGTCTTTCATTAAAGAGCTAACGGCCAATAACCATCCTCACCTTGTACAAATACATGTTGAACAATCACAGCACAGAGTCCCGAATATTATTCCAGTCACAAAACACCAATATTAACGGTCACTCAGTTCAAAGTCACAACACCGTCAATTCACTGCATCTTGCCCCGCTGACAACTTCAAGTGCAGTGTGTCCACATATCCGTCGTTGCAAGTCCACTGTCCACGCAAGCGCAGCCAAATGAAACCCTATAATTTAAACAAACCATCGGTTAAAAAGAAAAACTTTACTTCACCATTGATTACACTTGATAATTGAACCTCCTTGCGCGTGATTAGAGTGTCACAATGCGCGCGAAATTCGAAAATGGAACAGTTTTTTTTTCTTTAAATCTTTGATTGGAATGAGTTTGTAATACCGAACGAGGTTTTATTAGATTAATAAAATGAATAATAATGATTAGAAATATTTACGCACTTGTTTTTATTGTAAAGTTATGGATGGCAAATGCGTTCGGACGGCTGCCCGCTCGGAAAGTGGTCGCGCGTATCGGCCGTTTGTTGTTAAATACCGCACTACTCTATCTATAAAAGGCAATCATATCACGTTTGCTGTTATGATGAGCTCAACTCGATGCAAAAGCAATCATCATATTTAAAAACATTTAATTTTATCGTTAGGTCAACAGGGACGTTTGTGATGAAATATGACTTCATTGGACCTTTGTGACGTCATCAAAACCAATTGTTTGGTACACTTTCGATTTCGATTCAAAAATAAACTTTGTTGCTACGGAAGAAATATTATTTTAGTTTTACTGTTTTCGCTTAGTGGATATCGTCTTTATCAGAATTTGTAGTGCAGGAACATTTCGTTTCTGTAAAACATTTGTATGAATCAAAGCTCAAAGGTAAGTACTGCAATACATTTTTTTTTTTTAACTGAATTGATTTTGATTAAAGATTTCTATTAATTTTGTACGGTATATGTAAGTATCTGTAGTGCATTTAGTGATCTGTTGAAAATTTCGTAAAAGAGTACAAATGTCGCGTAGATATATCAACACTGTAAACTCGAAGAGCTTCCTAGAGCAATTGATGCCATCAATAATGATCTTGGAAACATAAGTAAATGGGCTAAAAGTTTTGGACTATTAGTAAATCCTACCAAATCGCAAGCTCTCATTGTTGGTGGCAGATATTTTCTTAATAAACTGCAGTCTCCTCCACCAGTCTTATACGATAACGTTGCCATATCATATACTACTTATGTCAAGAACTTGGGTGTCCTAATGGATTGTCATTTGTCCTGGGGTCTACACATTGCAGAAGTAAGCAGGAGGGTGTTTCACTCGTTTCAATCACTCAAACGTCTCCAGAAGTTCCTGCCTTTTTCAACAAAAATTACTCTTGCTCAGTCGCTCCTTCTCCCTTTACTAGATTATGCTGATGTCTGCTTCCTTGATTCGACTGAGGAACTTCTTGACAAACTCGAACGTTTGCAGAATCTGTGCATCCGCTTCATTTTCGGCCTTCGGAAATACGACCATGTGTCAGAATTTCGGAGTCGTCTGAAGTGGCTGCCTATTCGAAAGCGTCGAGATGCTCACATTCTCTCTTTCCTCTACTCTCTTCTCCACAATCCCTACTCACCAAGCTATCTTCGGAAACGCTTTGAATTCCTCGTTCCTAGAGGCAAACCCTGTCGCTCCTCTTCATCTCTTCTTCTTCGTGTCCCTCCTCATACTTCGAGCCGTTATGATGGATCCTTCACTGTTCGTGCTGGGAGGCTTTGGAATTCTCTCCCTCACACTATACGCGAGAGCTCATCGTTAGATGTTTTCAAGGAACGAACCAGGGAACATTTACTGTCAACATGACTATACATGTATGTATTTATATTTGTATATATTGTATTTTTATGTATTATGTTTATATATTTTAGCTTTATTATATTATATATATTTATTGTCTTTATGTATCTTTATATTGTTATAGTGTTTATATTTTCTCAGTAATGTGTTGTTGCGCACTTATGACTTTACCCTTCCATATCCAATCTCTCTATCGCTCTAAGGTTTGCTGTTAGAGAACCCAACTCTGGGTTAAGCTCGCCTTTGTACATATTTTTTTTTTAATTCTATTTTTATAAATGTATGTGTGTGCAATAAAGTATAATAATAATATATCGTCAATTAGCCATAGCGTGATTTTCCAAAAACCTTATTGCATTGAAAAGTCACAAAAATAATCAACCACTTTTTTGAGTTTTCCTTTTGATTTGTAAATATAATTTGGTACATAATATGAAGATGGAAACACCTTATATAGTTTGTAGGTGACGATCATATGATTTCTCAAGTGACAACAATAGAAATTCACTTAGCAATACCTACATGGTCTAAATTCCAACTGAGACCTCGACATATTTTGTGGGTGCCGTAATTTTAGTAGTCTTCTGCATACTTTTCTATGGCATAAGTGTAGTAGACTCGTGCAAGAATGGGATTTTTTTTTCGAATGTTCCGACTTAACTAAGACTACAGAATCACAGAAACTTTCTGCCTCGCACAGCAAAATTTTGGAATGATCTTGCGGCGGCGGTCTTTCGATACGACCTTCAAAGCTTCAAGAAACGTACGTACTCCTTTTTAAAGTCCTTTTACTCCTTTCTAAATGCCGCCAACGCGCCTAAGCCTCCTCTGGTGTTGCAGGTGTCCATGGTCAGCGTTGATCGCTTACCATCTGGTTATCAGTCTGCTCGTTTGCCTCCTATTCCATAAAAAACTCATAGACGAGAGACGACGAGATTACACCTCTCAAAAACATAACAATAAATTAAGCACAGTACTGACGGCATAGAAGAATACATTCACGACTCAAAAAACTAGAGCATAGTTCTGTTCAAAAAAAACGATATCATACGGTTCAGTCTTGCAAAATTTTTTGGTTGACTTGGAACAGGACAATCATAGCGCCGAATGTCATTCATGATTGACATAAAGGCAAATTTACAAAAGGCACACAGCCCTTCCCGAAGGCGCCAGAATAGGGATCGTAATATTATCGTAATTAAGTAAGTATCGTAAATTTTAGTAAACCGCATTATAATTCTTTATAATGGGTTTACTAAAATTTGGGTTACATCATCGGATCTGCATCACATACTTTAATAGAAATTAAAGTATGTAATGCAGATCCATCTGACGTGAGTACCTGTTCCACTTCATATTATGTTCAGTATATAAAATTTTCAATCAATTCTTCTATTGGATAATCATCAAAAGACTTCTGCCTTTCTGGAAAGGGTGAGAGCCAACCCGTTCATTGTCCTGCTCTGATATATCTTTCGCCCCGTTATATCTTTGTTCTTGACCCGCTACATTGAACCCAACATATATAATTTATAAAAAGAATCTTATTACAATATTATAGCTTCCAGCTTTCTCAATAAGTACATCCTTAATTTAAACTAGATAACTAGGAAAACAACAGTTAAGGCGTTATATAAAAGCAAACGTTACTGTAATATGTTTTTCTAATAAACAAGTTCCAACGATAGTAACGGATGTAGGAATCCGAGTAAATTCTTCCTGACCGTCACACGTCTTAGAATTTCTTCAAACAATAGAATTATAACATAACTACTTTGTATGTAGGTAGAAGTCTCGAGTCTTGGGTACTAGGCTACCATAAGTATTAGGCCGTAGTCTAAACCATATAATTAGAACGCAATACCAGTGTTTATATCGTCTAAGTATTGCAAAATCATAGTGTACACCAAACTACATTGAGTAATTTTATGGGACGGCATCGAAGTGAATCGATATCGCTATAATAGAGCAATATTATGGCTTATATTGAGTTGTCTATTGTAGTAGTAACACATTAATTCTTTTGTTTTATGGTATGTGGCTTACTGTGTAAGTTTATGTCTACTCCTACAATAATGGGTGTAATAGTAAAATATTATACGCAAATTTCTCTTTTGGCAGGATATGGCAGGATAATAATTGTATAGCCATCTGTATTCAGAACCCACATCCCAGTAATTGGCTCATTTAGAATGACTTTAAAGCCACAAAAATTACTAGATTTTGCCTTCCACTTGCCAAATAAAAATTATTATGTGCAATGACTTAATAGATTGAGTCCATAGACACGACTAAAAACTTGATAAAAGTCTCACACTGTTCTTTTTTCATAAGAATCTCGGAGATGACTCAAAATTGACGCCCGTATTGCTCAACAATGCCCGATTTTTATAGGCACAAAGCGAAAATTCTTCAAGGCTAACATTAAACAACTTGAGACTTACACAACATAATCCCACATGGCATGTGACCGTTGAACAAATAAAAGTAATGTTCACTTTTATTTTTACTAGTGGTCACATCCGCTGTGATCGCCCGCCGCCATTAATGACGGGATGATTATCTTCTTCAACGTTTTAAATTACGTAACAACGGTTTTCTTCACATTATCGAAACTTCGGAAGTGGTTCGAAATTCAAATTCGAAGTCACGCAGTTTTTTTTTTCATATACAATTTTGCTATTGTAAAAGAGGTCGTGACGTGACAGATTGTAAGGTTCAGGTTCACGTCAATTAGCTTTTACGGATAATAATCGGATGTGAAGGGAATATTCGTGACGTGAAAAAATATTATAAAAAAGTTCATCATTACATTACAAAGTTAGAAGTATAAAATTGTAAAAATGTTTCAACAGAAATAAATCGTAATACCATAATTAATAAAAATAACTAAAACATAGTTTGCTTTTCTACAAGTAACGTTGCCCAATCTAATGTTTAAATCAATCGAAGCGCCACCACGTACCATATTTGTAATTAAAACTGCACTCGACAATTTTTGCTTGGATTGAATCTAAAATTAATTTTAAGGCTTCATGGTCTGGACATCCCAAGGCTTTTTAAACCTACATACAAGTACAGAAATTGATACATAATTAATACTTTTGAATAATAATTTGGGATTTCATACAAATGTTCTGGTTAAAAATCATAAAAACTACTAAACTGAATTTTTGGAACATGGTACTAACTTATACAAAATATTTTCGCGGTCTAAGAAGAAAACGGTAAATAAAGAAAGAGAGAGAGAGAGAGAGAGAGAGAGACAGAGGCTGAGAGATAATTCAAAGTTTTATACTTATACAAACTTTGAATCTCTTACATATTTTTCCCTAATGTTCGTAATTTATGTTGGACTTCGTTACATTGCAGTTCAATTTAAAACATTTCATATTTTTTTCCAAAAACCCGTGCCATCAAAGACTCCTAATTTATATTCAGAAAACTAACGATACGTCATAGCGAATGTTGCAAAGAATTTCCAAAAATGAGTAAGTATATTGTGTTGTAAACTCATATAGTCGAAAGTGCAAACTTATTAGTCAAATGCAGTTGCATAAATATTGCAAGATGCTGATTCAATTTTGAATACAATGATGGGAAGGTAATGTGTTTATTACATAATACTGTAAAAGGAGCGTAGAGAAACACACAGAC